TACGCATATATTGTAAGGCTATTTGATGGTGCTTGTCCAAAGGTACGGCAGGCACCCAGCCATGCACGCCTACACAGGGCAAGTATCCATTCACACAGAAAGCCTCTCCTCTCTTACTCTCAGGGAGGGCAAAACTACACACCACACAGGAGGCCAACCCTTGGTTCTTTTAAGCACCTGCCCGGGACAAATGGGCAAACCATGCGGGCGGAGGGGTGCGGTACTCCACTCATGGCTATGCCACACTGCCAGCCAGAATTATTGTGCACATGGGTGGGAAGGCAGAGGAGATCCAAAGGGGTCAGGGTCAGTTTCAGGAGGAAGGCAAATGGCATAAGCTAACACCCCTCCCTGCAAGCAGCTGTGCGTTCTGTCACACACACATGCACACTCACACATGCACAAACCTTCTCACTCACAGCCCTGATGCAATTTCCCCATGTGCTGCATCAACTGGGCTTAGGCATTTTGAGTGAGTTCTAAGTTCCTAGGCAGTGCCATGGGTTGCACTGCCATGGGTTGCACTGCACTTTCCAGCATTGAGGTCAAATCATGAGGTCGAGGGATCAGAGCTATGACCAAGCTCCCTGCAGTTGGCATGGAAACACCAACACCTGTTGTCTCTCCAGGTTGGGACCACAACCTCAAAGAAGGGAGAAGGGGAGCCATCCCCTTGTCCTGCTTGGGAGCCAAAGCTTGTGCAGAACATGTTGCCGGCTGTCCCATGTGTGGCAGGTCTCCCAGAGGGCCCTGGCGCTCCGTCGCCCCTCATGCACATTAAGGCTCATGCAGCTGAGACTGCCCACCAGCACGTTGCATCTGCTGGCCTCCTGTCAGTTCCATGTCCCCTGGTTCCTCAGGGCGCCACATCAGTGTGCTCCCCACCCAGCTAGCAATACATCTGTGGTGGTGATGACTGATGGGTCTGGGGATAGGAAGCTGACTCCGGCTGGCATATGGTGAGGTTTGGTCTGCCAGTGATGGCCACACTTGGTGGACAGGGGAAGGTCAAGGCATGTGCAGGTCACTGAATGTGTGGAATAAATGGACCAACCCGTTTTGTAAGGGTTGCATTAGGAGCCTCATGAAAGGGAATACTGTCTCTGCCTGGCCATAAGTCTGAACAGCTTTTGTATTCTGTGGGCCATTAACAGTCCTTCTGGTGTTGGGTTTGGTGGCCACCTCAATCAGCACAGATGTTCTAGATGATAAAAAGAGCTTTTTATGAGGATAAGTTGATCCCAGAGTGTAGGACACGGAATAATCAATTCAAGTTGCAACAACCCAGATTCAGGCTGGACATCAGGAAAAGCTTCCTCACTGTCAGAGCAAAATGAGAGTGGAACCAGCTGCCTAGAGAAGTGGTGGGCTCTTCACATTAGAGACATTCAAAACGAAACTGGACAGCCATCTGAGTGGGACAGTGTAAACTGGTGTCCTGCAAAAGCAAGGGGTTGGACCCGAGGAACGTCAGGGCCCCTTCCAACTGTACTATTCCATGATTTTATGATTCTATAAAGCAAGCCCCTATGAAGAGGATGGCTTGGGATGGGGAGAGCACATTGTTATGATCAATACAGAGTCCCAGAGTCTGTAGGATAGAGCAGGTGGTGCAGTTGAAGTCTCCTTACATACCAGTCCATTCCCTGTGGTCTCCATCCGACGCCCTCCCCGTAACGAAGTTGAAGGGGGAGTTTGTAAGGAGGAGGGCCTTCTCCTGCATAGCACCCCAAGTCTGGAATTCAATCCTGCTCAAGGTCCGGTTGGCACCTACTCTTTTGGCTTTTAGGTGTCAACTAAAGACTTACCTGTTTAGCAGTTATTTTAACAGGGGAAATTTTAGGTATTAATGTTATTTTTATGCTCTGCCATAAAAATAGAGATATTTATTCTTAATTTTAATGGTTTATGCTTTATTCTTGGGATATATATATCATTTAGTCTTTATTAATTCTATTCTTTTCCTATTTTGGTTTTTTAATTCTGTTAATTTATAGATTTTATTGTTATTATGATTAGACTTTGCAGTGAATGTTATATTGTGCTTGTATTGCTCTATGTTGCTGGCTTTCAGCATGTTGTAAGCTGCCCAGAGAGCCTATGGCTAGCGAGGCAGCATATACATTGACTAACTGACTGACTGATTGATTGATTGATTGAATGAATGAATGAATATATAGTAACACTGCCTCAGATGGCACAACTAGGAGCCAGTCATCAAGGCTTATACTCCTCAGAGGCACAGGTGTGAGCAGTCCACTTCCGTGCTTTTAATGAATGCCCTGGAGGCAGTTGAGAGCCCAAAGGGGAGGACAGGGAATCGGAATATCTCGTCTCCAATCTGGAAGCATAGGAAGTGTCTATAATTATGGTCTATGGTAATGTGGAAGTAGGCATCTTGCAAGCCAGTCATGGAAAACTAGTTTAGTTCTTGCCAGAGAGCTAGGATGCTTTGGTGACCATCCTGAACTCCTTCAGTATGATAGGTGATGCCTCTAGGAACGATCTGGGTTCCCTATAAAAATGCCTCGTAGGTCTCCAATTGGTCTGATTCCTCCATTCCATTTTGGTATCGTGAAGTAGTGAGAGTCAAAGCCCCAGAAAAGGTTGGAATGAGGTCCCTATGGTCCCCCTGGAAAGTAATGAATCAACCCCCAACGTTCAGTATTGGGATGAATCCTTTCTCCTAATGGAGTTGAGAGATGGCAGAGTATGGACGCAATCTGGTAGGCACTCTCTGTGATGGAGTAGAGCCAGGAGTCAAATGCTATAAGTTCCCGTGCGGGAAGGAATAGAAAGAGATGTCTGCCAACAATGATGGTGCTCATCCCTCTTCAGGTGCTTTCATGCTTGCTTGAAGCAGGCCATGGTGTTGCACCATCTGGCCTCAGGGGATGCCTGGAACATGGGGACAGGCTCAACATAAACCTTGTACTGCTAAGGATGTGCTGGATGGGGGGGGGGGGGCTGACGTATGAGTTTTGGTGGACGATCATTGGAAACCATCCTCCTCACCATCCTCCTGGCCTTCAGCAGGGAGTCCATGTGTGCTTGGAAGAGGCCTTCCCCATCAAAGGGGAGGTCCTCAGTGCTGGAGCAGGTCCTCCTGTGGCCGCCCTGTGGATGTCTCCTGATGAGCCTATCATTGCCTTGGCGTCGGAGCCAACAGGTCCATGCTGTGGTGGGTCTGCTGATGAGCCAGCTTCATGGCCTCTGATGAGAACACCCGAATCAGTTCCCTGTAGTCATCAGAAAGGTGGTCGCACACAGTCCTGTTTTTGTCCCACGCCAGCAGTCAGTAGTGGGCCACAGTGGCCTTATAGTTGGAGACTCAGAGGCCAAGCAATGAAGCCACAGAGACCCCCTCACTATACTGCCCAGTCATTGGCTCTCTCTCTCTACCGGCACCAAGTGTTCCTATTGCGATCAGCCCTACACAGATCCAGGGATGACCAAGCTGGCTATGGATGCTGGAAGAGGAACAGAATGCTTCTTTCCAGGACCCAGTACATGCTCTTGAACTGCTCTGAGATGGTATGTGCAGCTGTAGGGCCTTCTATGTCTGCTGGATCCTCTGCAGTGTATGGGCACTGCCACTGGTGCCAAGTCCTCCCTGGTAATGGCATAGGAGAGGGAGACTGTGATCCTGCCTTCCAGGATACCGTATCTCAACACTGAGGGAATTCACCATCCTCACGATCTGCCCAGAGAATCTGCCCATCTCCTCCAGTGGAAATATTGGGCCCTGTGTGGCAAAGTCCCGTGGTTTCCCACGTGTGCTTGCCCAAGCAGAAATGGCAGAGGAGGTGTCCATCTGTGGCGGGCAGTTCAGTCCCACAGTGGACACATTTCTAAATGTGTCTTCCCTTCGATGCTGTTGCAGTAGACGGGGAAGGCAGAAGCAAAGGAGGGAGGGATGATCAGTAGAAGGGTGCAAAAGACCAGAGAGAGAGGGAAGGTAGGAAAAGTGTGTGTGTGTGTTTTACAAGTCAAGAGTGAAAACAAAGTTCACAGAGAGAGGGGTAGAAAAGGAAGCTGACCAAGGAGGAGAAAGTGGGGGGGGGGGGGGGAGAGAGAGAGAGAGAGAGAGAGAGAGAAGGTAATAAGGTTATATTCTTTTCCGCACCAGACAAAACCCTTTTTATTTTCCCACTATTTTAATGTTTAATTGATTTTAACCGGGGTTTTGGTATATTAATGGACTGATGCTGTGGGTTTGTTTTATTCTACTTATTCTATTGTAGGCTGTCCCAAGATTGGGATGGGATAGAAAAGCTTCAGATGGATGGATGGATGGATGGAGAAACTGAGGAAAGGAGCTCTTCCCGATCTAGGTATGGAGGGGGTCAAAAAGGAACAGAGGGAATGGGCTGGAGCATCTCTCATGGGTGCAGGGACCAGAAATGGGAGAGGCTTTCACTCAGCTGTAGAATCCACGCAGATGTGGACCCCATATGTGTGATGCATAGAAATCATGGAGAAGAACTTGTATTCCAAAACATCTGGTGAGTAGCAGATTCGGGAAGGCTAATCCATATACTCAACACACACATGCATGAGGCAAGGATGGGGAGAAACCACCTCTGTGCAGGTATTGCTGGACTGCAATTCACATCACCCCTTCTTATTGGTTTTTCTGGCTGGGGCTGAGGGGAACTGGAATCTGTAAGTATCTGGATACTCACAGGCTCTCCATGCATGACATTCAGGAACTAAATATCTAAACCAGATATTTGATATTATGGGTACCAGTCTGGGCAACATGAAACTCCGTAAATTTCAAGAGAGACTTCAGCAAGGTGTATTACAGGAGTTCCCTACAAATTTGGCAGTCTTCAAAGCCAACCATGCAAACCCATCTCTTTGCTGTTAAGCAGTTATCTTTCAAACAGATCAGGAACCAAAACCTCCTGGTCTTTCACTGCATCAGGAAAGCCCAAGAGAGAAAAAAATCCAAAAGAAAAAGGCTATCACTATTCAGAGAAAGAAAAATAAATCAATTCTTGTATAAAAATAGTTTAATAAAAGGCATAAAAATTCAAGAAAATATCTATAGTAACAACAGTGTTTGGCAAATGTGCACGTATACATATCTGAGGTTAAAATACATTATTTCTTTTGACGTACCTTACTTTATTATGTTGAGTCTATATAGATTTGGATCTGAAAGAAAAGAACTCACCACAGCTTCCTGGAACTGCATCCGCAAAAATGAAATGGTTTTCCGCCCCCATCATTCCAAATTCATACTAATCAAAGGCACAATACGCTATGGGGTTATCCTACATACCACATTAAAATGAGTGGAAACTACTTAACAGCAGTCGCTTTGATGGTTCTTGTGGAAGAGAACTTCACAATGTACTGTGCTGAAGCTTTGGACTAGCAAGTGGCAAGTTTATTCTAAAAAATGGGAGCCCTCTAAAGGTAACTGTTGAGAAATGTTAGCATGCCTGAATGAAACATCAGTGGGAAATGGAGTTTGCTGGCTGACACGCCCAAATAACAGAAGAAATAAATTGGGAAGCAAATCTAAAACAAAGACTGATGCTGTTAACACGTGAAGGAGCAGGAGTTCAACATGCCACTCCTAATGGAGATACAAAAACAAGAATTATTCTGAATTGGGTGTGCAATTGGCCGCCAATAGCCTATTAGCAGAAAATTGAGAAATGAGGGTTTGCAATGTGTTTTCTAGGGAATGAGTTATCATGTCATATATGCACACAAGAGATACCTGCACTGTATCTTTGTCTCACTGCTTCCTCTGTTAGGTTTCTTGCAAAGCTTAATGCTCATAATATGGTCCAAATACTGTGCTATGGTGACTGGTTAGCAGGTGGCTGGCTAAAGGCAAGCCTGCGCAGTGGTTATGCAGTCTTCCCAGAAGAAATGGAATATCTCCACTGGCCAGAGGCCCACTCTGGCATAGCCCCTTTTATGCTACTAGCTCACTACTCAAGCACCAACTGGAAATGCAGGATTCCATACACCAGAAAGGTGCTGTGATATTTTTGCAACATACAGCATATGAACAACATCACTCATATTGCAATTCCCCCTTGTGGACTAGTAAGGTGTCCAGTCCACACCAGTGCATGCAGGTGTTAGAGATGCTGATGGTGTGAATATATATGTCAATATGCCCTATCATAACCAATAATTTTCCCACCCACCTTATTACTTTTTGCTCTGTATTGCCACACCATAAAGATTCAGCTTCCTAAAATTGTTTATATTAATAGCTTGTGCAATGAAGATTAGATGGAAAAGGAGAAGGGGAACAAGTTCAGTCATCGTCCAACAATGGAAGAAAAGGAAGAGCGAAGATTAGAGAATACTAAGCCCTAACCTAGATCTGATGGAAGCCATTAACTATGCCATGTAGTGCCCTCTTTTTGACATGCTCTTATGGGCACCTGGCTGTCCATATGCCAGGCCAGAATGCCAGTGCTATTCTGGCCCAGGTGGGCATTCACTGTGCACATACTAACTAGCTGCTCAGTGCGGAGACCTGGTTCATATATAATCATCTTGACCATGGTAAATATTGTTCCTGAGCCATTCCGACTCCTTTTCTAACCCATGCTTTAACTCCGTACTTCCACAAACCATTGTTTCCTGCTGCCTCTGAACTAGGAAACTGTTATTTAAGAAACCCCAGAAGTATTTAAGATGTGGAAGAAAAAGGATGGATGGAATATGTGGACACGATGTTTGATCTTAGAATGATAAACCATGGCTTAATTCAGCCTTCCCCAACCCGATGCATTTCAAATAAGTTGTACAACGCTGGCTGGGGATGATGGGAGTTGTAGTCCAATGCAGATGGAAGGCATTAGGTTGGGGGAGGCTTCATAAGACCAGGATTCCCTGTGTCTAAACTGTGCTACTGTAAATGCATCTAAATTAGATAAGAGCCACATGGAACACTTGCATGGGTAATTACCCACCTGTGAGTCATATCAAGCTCCCAAACCATTGGGCAGATGGAAAGCTTGACTAGTTTGAAGTATTCCCTAAAGAAATAAGAAAAGGACACACACGCACACACACTCAATTTCTAAAACAGTTTTCATTTTATAATCAACTTTTTTTTTACATGAACAGAAACACACCAGTATTTTGTGCGAAAAAATATTTTAAATAAACTTTGCTTGTTCTTGATCTTTGTACATTCTGATATACATATGTAACAAGGTTTATGGCACTATAACCAGTATCAGAAAAGGGAAAAAAATAATTGCTTTTGTGGTATTCCTTCTTCTAAATCAAGCCAGCCACCTTCACACTATTTTTTAAAAAATATTATTATTATTGGGCAGCCAGCTGTTACTGGTTTGAACACTCAAAATAAAGAACTCTTTCCGTTCCCAAAAACTATTATTGCACAAGAAGCCAGTAAAGGCATATGGCATAAAATGGTCAAGTCCTTGGTGTTAAAACATCCTATCCCACCCCCACCCACTCCACTCCCAAATAGAAAAATAGTACCAGAAGATGAAACATGGCAAATAAAAAGACTTTCTTTAGTCAAGAGGGTGAGAAGTGATTTGCAGATCGATTAAGCTGCTCTGATCTTCTTTGCACCAGCAAGCATTTTGCTTAGGTTTTCTTTAGCAAAGCCTTTGCAAACTCAAGGCCCATGGACTTCGTTGTCTTTTTGCTTTTATTTTGGCTGGTTGTGTTTTATTTTTAAAACATAGCTGTTTTCGGTCTATGAACCCGCACAGACTACTTAGTCATAATCTCTACAAGTAGCTGAATCACCAAAAAGGAAAAAAAATATATAGTGTCCAGTTTCTCTCACACGCATGTAGATTTTTAAAAACTGGTTTCTCTTTATGCATCTCTCCTTCACCCTGGTTCATTTTGAGAATGGACTTGCAACAGCATTCCCCATAACATTGGTGAAGTCTTTGTATTTTTGTAATGTTTTGTTCAAAACATTTTCTGTCGAATGTTCATCTTATAATTCTCTCTCCCCAATAAAGCTAAAAAAAACCCCCCAAAAAACCAACAACAACAACCCAAGCCTCCCAAGTCCACATCAAGTGAAGAACACAACAGTCTGCCAGATGCTTCTTGGCCATCACACAACAGTTTCCACCCCAATTAGCTTTGGCGTAAGAATTCGTGGTGTGACTCCATTGTTGAGATCTTCTTCGAACTCCAATAATTGCCCCATAAAATTCAGGTTAGGAGAAATGATTGGTCGCTTGCCTTTGACAAACTTGTAGGCATCAGTCATGGTCATCCGTGTGTGCTTCATAAGGTAAGCAATGACGATGGTGGCTGAGCGGGAGACCCCAGCCTGGCAGTGGATAAGGAGGCCTTTCCCACACTGGTGAGCTTCCTCTGAAAGGAAGAAAAGCAGAGGCAGATGTTCATCTCCAGACATACCCTTAGAACACATTCCACAACATAAGCATCCAGCCCTGCCTTAACTTTCTTAATTTTTTTTGCAAACCTAGTTTACATAAAGAAAAAGAATACAAAGGCTCAAATTCATATAGCATCAGCAACAACATCATCACCACCACCACATTACATTTATACTCCATCTTTCTTCCTCTTGCAGGAAACCCAAGGGGCCTTACATGCTCCTCCTCTCAACAAGCAACCTGGCTGAGAGTCAGTGACTCTGTACACATGGTGGCAAACCAGTTGTCCACGGGACCCCACAAGCAGGATAGGTGCAAGACCCCCTTCTGCCCAAGCTCCTCAGCAACTGCTGTATGCAGCCATACCTCCTTTGGTAAAGGAGGCAGCACATGCCCAGCAAAGCTAGGAGCGACTGATAGCCTCCTCCCCATGAATCTGTCCAATCCCATTGTAAAGCCATCCAGATTGGTGGCCATCACTTCCCATGACAGCGAATACCATAGTCTACCTATGCACTGTGTGAAGAAGTACGTCCTTCTGTCTTAAGCCTACCACCAATCAGCTTCATGGGATGACCCATGAAGGAGGAGAGGAAGAAAAATGCCTCCCTCTCCACTTTCCTCACACCATACTTTATTTTAAACACTTCTATCATGTCTCCCCTTCCTCACCTTTTTTCTAAGTTGAACATTCCCAGCTGTCATAGCCACTCCAGCCCCCTGATCATTTTGGTTGCCCTTCTCTGCACTTTTTCCAAGTCAATAATGTCCCTTTTCAGGTAAGATGAACAGCACTGAACACAATATCCCAAGTGAAGTCACGCCAAAGATTTGCGCCAGGGGAAAAAGATCTTCACCATTCTACCAAGAAGTACCCAATCCGTGTGAGCTGTCCATGCCTCTCCTCCTCCGTCTGTGACAAGTAATTCTAACACCTGGCCCAATTTCCTTCACTTGCCCGAGAATCCATTCATCTCTCTCCTCCCTGCCACTTTCCATTCTTGCTATGCCAAATTCCCATGCAAAAGGAGAACTGCATGCTGTGAACGGCTGCAGCTCCGTGGCATCTCTGACAGTGGACATGGCTGCAGAGGCCTCTGCTGCTTGCCCACCACGGCAGCGCCTCCTTTGGGGGCTGCTTCCACAGTATGTGGCAGCAATCCCAGCTCTCTGGCTTGGGGGCAGCAGCACAGGGGAGGGGAGCTACAAACTGTTTGGGTGTGCACTGCTGCTGGGGGTCTTTGCAAGGCCTTCATCCTGCTGGCGACAGGGGAGGATCTGTGACTGGCTCAGCTGGCTGCAAACCGGCTACCCCGCTCTCTGCCCTAAGTTGCCACTGTGAGGCCGAAGAGTTTGTCGCGGCAGCACAAGATGGGGGGCCTGGGATCCCTCGTGAGCCGGTGTCAGTAATTGTCCCTGCATGCTGTGGGGGCAGGCCGTGAGGGAAGCCTCTGGCAGCTGCCCCCACGTGGAGCTTGGGCACCTCATGGATGGCTGTCGGTGACACTCATCCACTGGCTGCTTGGCAGGACCAGCAGAGGATTTTGCAGCTCTTGCCAAGTGGCTCACTTGCCATTGTGTGTGATCCACAAACCATCATTTGTTTGGGTTCAGATGGCATGGCAAGCCGTTGTGAGTCAAACAAGCCCATCTACAAGCCATGGTGGCTGATAAGCCAGGGTAGGTTGTCATGTCATACGAGCCCACCCACTATCTATCTTACTGCTGCAGTGTGGCATCAATGCAACTTTGGGGCGGGGGGAGGGGGGAATGGGTGCATACATCCTGCAAGCAGAGGGTAGGAACCAGATGAGAAATCACATAGGTCTCAAAAGGACAGCAGCATCAAGATTAGTTAAGTTACACTACTCGGGAAACTGGTTTTGTTCTACATGCTACAGGCAAAAGTAGCATCCTGCACTGCCTTCCCCAATTCTATCTATTGCCCTTTCAGTTTGGTAGAAGGAGGTATTGATCTGCTTCATATATGAGGTGATCCTATTTGTATCCTGCAGCAGGCTACATGATGTATGCCAGGCTAAACTGGCTAACATTAGAGGTGCCACACAAATTCAGAATTTTGGTTTTGAAACTATTCAGTATCCCTCACTTGTGAGCTTTGCAGGGGAGAAGGGAATGGCTCCAATTCATGCATTACTCCAAGAGAAAGCTGGACTGGCCACAAAATGATGTAGTCACTAGGAAGCTTCCTGAAGTAATTGACATGTTCTTGTTCTTCACATTTGCCCAATTTCAGACATTACGTGGATGCTGACCTAGATGGAGCTTTGATCTGAATGCATATGCCTATTGTGATGGCCAGATTTCAATTCAGGCGGATTTTCTGTGACCACATGTATTGCTTTCTCAGAGGCCTTATGTCTTTATTTCAACCTTCATAAGCCCTCTGCGTTGGGAGGGGGAAGAAAATCTATTTAAGACATCCCAGATCTTCTCAGAACCAATTTAAACTGCCTCTAGGGCAATGCTAAGCTCTGATGTAGCTAGTTAACAGACTAATTCATCCTACTAAAAAGTCAAGACAAAGAAATATTTGTTTATTGCCTAAAGTTTTGCGTGTATGTTTGATAGTTACCAAAGGGAAGGGGAAGTGGCTGAACTTAAAAGGGAAAAAAATATGTCTGGACTTTCCATTATATTATTACTATTATGACAACCACTATGACTACTTTACATTTCTATACTGCCCATAGCCAAAGCTCTCTGGGTGGTTCACAACATTTAAGTCACCCATCCAGATCTCAGTGAGGGCAGACCCTGCTTAGCTTCAAAGATGAGGCAGGAACAAGCACTTCAAGCCATACAGAAACTCTCTGGTCCTAAGAGATTTGTTAAGAGACAGTCTGGAAAACAAGGACTGCTCAAGGGTTTAAGAATTTGCCCTCCATTGGCCCTCCATCCTTTCAAAAAGAATAAATATACTTTGCTATTCTGAAGGCCTTTCAAAAAGAATAAATATAATTTGTTATCCTAAAGGGCCATAAAGAAAAAACTCCAGGCAACCAAGGGGTTCTATCTGCATTTTTTCCTGTAAAAGTGGAAAATGCTGAAGGGGCAATCCTAGAAGCCCCTAGACTGGGATACGATGCTTTGGATTCCCAGATGCAAGGCCAGATCCGAGCACCTGAGGCTGCTCTCTGAGGTTGGGAAAGTACCTCAAAAAAGTGAGGTACCATTTCAGGGGTGGAGAGGGAAGGAGACTGGAGAAGCCAGCAAGCTATCTTGGCACCTCTCCAGCCTCATTTGCTCCGCCTGTGAGATCTTCCAGAAAACTGGGAAAACAAGCCCATCTTGGAGAAAAGGCAGGTCAGGGAAGAGTGCAAGTTGCTTCTGGAGCTGCTCCTGCATTAGATACCTCCAAGTTCACCATAAGATTCTGCCCTAACTTTACAGCACTTTTCTAATATCTAAACTGAAATTTTGTGCACTATTTTGTCCCGGTATTTGGAAAATCACTAAGATTTGTTTAAAGCACACGGATAGAATTGGCCCTTTTTATTGTCCTGCACAGACACACACACAAGCATTCTGGCAAAGGTTTCACTTCCTGCTTAATGTCAAGCACAATTAGCTTTATGGACAAGCAGTCTGAACAAGACCAAGAGTGTGGCACTTTGCAAAAGGCATGGCTGGCCCTGCCTTTGGGTATTTATTTTACTACATTCCTGTACTTTCCAATAGCTGAAGATTTCTGGATGGTCCAAAATATCTGCCTGGGATGCAAACTGTATTAATGGTACTTTGGGCCAAGCTGGCCATGTTCCCCCACATGTACACCACATTCACACACAATGCAGTGGGGAACTTACTGGAGACAGAAGAAGGGACATGGGGAAGGACACAGAACCCACCATGACTTCCCTCTCCTCAGTCGTTTGGTCAAGTCACATTTCTCTATTTCCTGGCCATGCCGCGCAGGGCAATGGAGAAGCAAGGTGGGGGAAATGGATAGGACACATGCAAGAGGCTTGCTCACATGTTTGCTTGCTTACTATTTTACTGTTCAGTTTTAGGAGCAGCACATGGGATGGACATGCAAAAAGAAATGTGTGTGCATGTCATAATTCCCCCCCCGCAAATAAACACACTAGAAAGCATTTTAGTCAGCCAGATGGATCTCCCAGCAGCAATGAAATACTAGAGCCATGAGCTACCCATGCCATGAAGCCAATGGACCAGCCCTTTCTCCCCAGCAATCCCATTGGCTCACTTTGCCTCAGCCCACTTGCTCTGACGCAAGGCTTGGGCAAGGATGCTCAGAACCATTCTTTCTTGGCCTCCTTATCAGCCCAACTGCCCTTCCCCCTGCCCGCATGGCTCAGGTCACATCTGCACAGATTAAATGGATTTGAGACATTCTCAGGCCTCCACACAAACCAAGCCGATTCTTTCTAATGCCTTCAAGCCCTGGCTAGGCTGAAATGCTGGCGTGCTTGTGGCACCCACTTCAATAGACGGGAACTTTGAGTATCCAGCTGGAGGTCTGCACAAAAACATTTCTGCTGATGCCATGTGGCACTGGCCATGGTTAAAATATTGCCCATTAAATTAATATCCTGCCTTTCACCCCCATGACTGGATTCCAGGCAGTCCCTCATCCTGACACTGACAAGAACCAGCCCTGTTTACATTTACCGAGGCTGCTGACTCAGACACCTTCGTTTCAAGGCCTGATTCCAAATTCCAGGATCTGTAGCCTGGTGGGTTAAGTAGATATTACAGTCGAGTGCCTCAGTCAATTGCAAGCAGTGCAGCCCACCAGAAAGGATCATAGCATGAATATGAGCCCTCCACCCAAATACCTGGGTGCTGCTCCTGTGGTCTTAGCTAGGTATTCCCACTCACGTTTGTCACTATCTTCCAAAATCATCAGGTTTCAAGGTAACAGGAAACCACGGCTGTCTGCCATACTTCCCTGCTAGAGGTGCCTGATGACAACTCCCATCATTCCCAGCTGGCATGACCAATGGGAATGATAGGTCAGGTTGCACCAGGCAGGGAAATTGTGTCACTAACAAGGCTGCAGAAATCTTGGGCGCACGGGCTGCCTCCCTCTTTCGTGTGGCAGAGGAGGGAAGCAGTGCACCGAGCCCATCGGCTCCTGACCGTTAGTCGACACCGTTGCTTCCATGGCTGCATCTGAAGCAGGCCACAAATGCACATAAGACAACATGCCTTGCTTTTGATAGTTCTAGTTGCACACACAGCTTTTTTTAACTGCTTAAAGCACTTCACATGGATGCCAAGTAATTCTTGTGATCACCCTCATGAACTAGTTTTATAGGCCAAGATTCAGAGCAGCAGCTTGCATCCGTCAGTTCCTGCAGGGGAATGAAAATGACACTGCAGGTGCCTGGAATGGACCCCCAGGGGGCTGCTTGGAATCAACCAGGCTGCTCTTTTGTTTAAGGGTCATCCTGTCAACTAGGTACTTGTCGCCTGCAAAGAGTTTGCCTGCCAACTAACCAAGAAATAGGGGATGCCAGCACTGTTGGGCCAAACCCAATTCACCAGGGCTGGAAAGGTCTCCCCTGCTTCTCCTTCCCACCACAACTGAATGGCTCTACTCAAGAGGCATTGCACATGATCCACACTTAATGGTAGGTCTCCATTTGTTACTGAAACAAGGAGAAACCATCCACAGCAGACCAATTCTATTGGGGAGGGGGAGAGAGGGAGACGGAGAGGGAGAGAGACTATTCCCATTGCAAGAATCAGCTTATTCCCATTGCAAGTATATCTAGAAATGCAATTGTTGTACTTCAGGAATTCTGCCAAGATCTGGAAGCCAAAAGGATGCATCATACTAGGTATAGTGAGTGACGACAAAGTATTTCTAAGGCTAGCATTGCAGAGGAATTAATGTTTTTCTTTTCTTTTTAAAGGGAGCATTGTACTTTAGAAGCAAGGATACTTGGCTTTGTACAACAGGCAATTATTTCAATCTTGGCAAGTTACAGATTCCTGTATTTTATGCAGTTTGCAACAGTTTTACCTGCATAATTCTTCCTTTACTCTTTTGTTTTGGGGGGGGGGGGGAGAGGAGGTCTGAAAAGTAAAAGTCATAATACCCCTACAGGTGTTCACCTGCAACATGAGTAGGGCTACCTGGGGGAAGAGGTGTGGTCAGGCCTGCAAGACCCCCCCCCCCATACCCTTGGCTGCTTATCAGGATTCTCAGCTGCAATTAGGGATGTAAGACCTATCAGGCAATCCTACCAATGTTCTCACTACCTGCACAGAGAATGCTAATGCAACAGGGCATGCCTCAATGTTGGGAAAAGGACTTCCATGTGTACTCCACATTGACGTACCATGGCTTAGCCCTATTCCTGTTGTAGGCGAAGGCTTAGGTTTTCATTCGGAAAGCTAGGACTCTTCAGTGGGGAAATGGTGAAACACCATCCCAGATAAGAACAATGGGGAAACCAACTGGGAATATAAGAGCAGCTTGGCTGGATCCAACCGACAGCCTAGCTAGTCCAGGAACATGTGCTCCACAGTGGGACCCTCGCATGCAGGGTAGGGGCAGATTTCACCACCTACATCATGTTTACCCTAGAAACAGATTCAAAGTAACACCCACTCTAGCCCTTAGATAATGTTTCAATCTGGAAAGCAGGTGTTTGCAAACCTCTGCATTGTACAAGAACAAACATCACAGAGATGGAGATTGATGACAGCATCTTCCTGCTAAGAATTCACTCTGCTCAAAGCCCACATATCCCCCCTGTATGGTATGAAAAGACCCTAATATTAAAAAGCAAAGGGCAAGGAAAGAACTGGGCTATTTCTTTGGCAGCCAACGTTCCACAGGCAGTGTCCAACTCAAAAAGGAACTACAATCGCTTGTCCCTTTGGAGCACACAGAATCCCGAATCAGTTCTGCACCTCTCCACCCAGAACGAAACGCATTCGAGGCATGACAATCAGCAATTAGAGACGTCTACTAGGGAAGAGGGTGGCAAGCAAGGATAGTTACCAATGAACTCAAATGCCTCTTCGAAGTACTGCCTGAGATTCTGCTTGTTGCTGTCCGTGGCAGGGAGCCGCTTGTAGCTGAATAAGCCTTTCTCGTAATGATAGAGGGGGAGGTGGGTGGTGACGTTGATGACATAGCCGATGTTCAGCCTCTGCATCTTCTCCAAGTCCTGAGCATCGTGCTCGTTGCCGAGGAACAGGAAGGGCAGGATGGGGGTGAGCTCAGCATTCTCAATGTCTGGAGTGGTCGGGATGGACTGAGGTAGTGTGCAGGTCACTGCACCGGCGCCGCCCCCTCCGCCCCCACCTTCGGGGCACTCTTGCAGCTGGAGGGAGTTATCACAGAGGTTTTCGTGGTTCTGCTTGAAGCTGCTGAGTCCACCTGCAATGGAGAGAGAGAAAGAGAAGACAGGGACTAGGGTTAGGGTTAGGCAGGAGTTCAGAACAAGAGTGATGCAGGGCTCAGGTGAGGCTAAGACCCTAAGACAATCCACCAAGCGAGCCCACAATCCTGCAGCTTTAAGTGGGGCTGCAGCTCTTGTTCCCTTCCAGGAGGGCTACTCCACAAAAGGGGTAGGTCCTCATGAGCCGTGGAGACCATGTTGAAGTGCCACTTGGCTCTTGCAGTTCCGCTGGTGGAGCCAACAGTGGAGGACACATTATGGTGCAATTGGTGGCAACCGCTGCAATGCACTCACAAACTTCACTAACCCCCCCCCCATCTGTCTGTCTGTCTGTCTGTCCGTCACACTTACACACAGGCAAATGGCCCAAAGGTGTTCATGATCTTTTTATCATCAATCTAATCCTGATTGACTAGATTACCAGCAGTCACATAACCCTTACCAGGCATTAGGACTGTCAGTAGGCCAGTGTGTTTAATTAAGAAGAAAGGATTGTGCACAGGATTGTGTATAAGGGAGCCTAATCCTGTTTGGATGGCATGTTGTAGCCTTACCCAACTTGCTGCTCTCCAAAGGCGTTAGACTTCACTTCCCAGCAAGTTCAGCCAGCAAGTTTCAGGAATGCTGGAAGTTGTAGTCTAAAACATCTGAAGGGGACCAGGTTGAGAAAAGCTGGCATATTATGCCTGAATTTTCAAATTCTCACTTCCCAGCTGCCATTTAGGAAGAAGAAAGCAAATATCTACTAAGTTTTTGCTTCCCTTCTCTCTTTTTCTTCTATTAATGCTGCAAGATTAGGTTTTAGTTTTAGTATATAATCCTAGTCCTCCTTTAGCTACTGGACTCCAAGGGCAAAATGATTTTTGTGAGACAGTATTCACAGAAGTTTGGAGGCTCCCAGAGATAAACGTACATTTCTCCATTTTTTGTGTGCAAAATGACTATCATTTACCCATCTCCATTTAGGCCACACAATAAGATTTTAGCTTTTTGTACAAAAAGTAGCACCATTCTGAAATTGATGCATTTGTTCATAAAGAAGAAATTACTCAAAGACATGGCATCCAAAAGTGGAGAGGTTCCAATGAAAGAACACATAAGAGACCGAGGAGTTTTAAAGTACATATATTATTGCCTGATACGCATCAAAATTTTCCTAGCAAATTGTTCCAGTAACTCTGAGGAGAAAAGCAGACACTTAACAACTTTCTACACCTCAGTTCAAGATGACATCAGCCTAAGCTTCCCACCTGCCTGGTTTCCATGGCATTTATACAAAAGACATACAATGACATCAGCTCGGCATGACATCAGCTCTTTGAGGGCAAACAATGCAAGAAGAGTTACTTTGTCTGAGGGCTTTTGGTACAACTGTGTTCTTGGGAGCCAGTGATGTAATGCTAACAGGTGGTTCAGCCAGCTTTTGCTGAACAGGGAGGAGGAAAAACACAGCACTGTCCCTTCTGTATACATGGGAGATTATAGGTTAAGCTTTTACTAATGGCATACAAGACAATGTACGAATTCAGGAGAAACGTTGCTTAGTGAAACCGGTCAAAGAGAGGGAAATTTGCAACAACGGGATGCCTTGAACAAAGCAATGTCATGTGGAGGAAAATAAGTTTCTCACTAGAAACCCTTCACTAGAACAAAAAAAAGTTCTGAAAAATTACAATCTAGAGGCAATTTTCTTGTATACAATTCTTCATATACCCATTATGTTCTCTTTAAGCTTCTTTGAGCCACGGTAATAAAGCCTTTAGACAGGCCAAACTAAAAATAAGATATTAAGGCTGCAATCCAGTGCAAGTTTAGACAGATGTAAGGCCTAGAGCTCCCAACAAGCCACAGCCAGCTATGCATGGTGGGAGTTATGGGGCTTTTTCTGTCTAAATGCACACAGGATTGTACCCTCATTTAAGTTGGTCATAGCTCTAAAAATGTGCCTACTCAAAATATGATTAAGACACAACCCTGTGCATATTTGTATTGGATGGAACTTCAGGTTTATCACTTCTTAATAGGAATGTGTTACACCATTCAAAAGAATGAAACTGATGTGTAAACCTTAAAAAGTGTCAGGTACTGGAGTACAGAGGACGAGATGCAGACTTAGAAATGATTCTCCTAAATTAAGCATTTTTTAAAAATGGGGGTGGGGTGTTTTTCATTCAACAGATGAGTATTAGAAGCCATTTTATAAAGGCATTTCAGAAAGTTTGGCAGAAGCAAGCTTATTTTGCTTTGGACTGTATCCAAATCCCTTTTGCCCACTTCAGAAAAAAGCAGCCAGCTACAATGCGGTGAAAGTCTTGCAATAAAGAGATGCTAGGAGCCCTGGATTGCAAATCTTGCTTTAATCACAGAAGAGCCCCTTCTAATGAGCCCCCTCTGCCCCAGCTCCCAGTCCTCATTTGCATCAGTAAATTCATTTAATCTAATGCAATTGTTCCTTAAGTGGTCACTTCTCCCACATTTTAAGACTTGTCTCTTTAGCAGTAGCCAGACTGGATGGGGTGCTGGCTTCCCCAGCACTGTGATGCAGGAGAAAACCAGACCCCGCTGGGTCTTCTCATCCTGCATGGAACTTCTTCAAAACAGATCTGCCCAAAGCACAGATTTCACTACTACTTAATATAAAGGAGAAATTAGGAACTATCACAGTGCAAACAAAGCCAAGGGTAGCCTTTTAGACATCTGTGTAGTTATATCACTCAAAAAAAAAAAAAAAAAAAAACCTCTTAGTGCATCATTTATCCCGTTTCATTGCCAGGGTCCTTCCACCATCTTGTTCTTTCTGCCTGATCACCAGCCCACCTCTTTAAGGGAAAGGCTATCAAAAATATTTTTTAAAACTCCAGACTACCTTATCCTTTTGGCATTGGACATGCCTAATCTTACACAAAACTGTAGAAGGAAAAGGTGAATGCAAGGGGAACATCAATAAGCCACAGATGATGTCGTTGTGCTGGCTGTGTTTACTTAAGGTGCATTTACATGTTCCATTAGGGGTGCAACAGTTCAGATTACTACTTAATTAGCAGTTTCAGGCAGGGAGGGTATGGGTGTTTATGGAGTCACGTCAGTAGCGGCCATTGAATGCACAGAAAAGGGCTTTCAATATACAACACCATTTTAAGCTCACATTTTATTCACTGCTTTCCATATCACCCCTTGCAACATTTCCTTTTAGCATTTTCCTTTTTTCTTCTAAATTGCACTTCAAAAATGAAGCAGCATAGTCCCATTCATATTTGCTTAGATGTAGAGCCCTCTTTGCACAATAAGGTTTAGTTCCCAGCAAATGTGTTTAGAATTGAAGCTATTGGAAAGATCTGATGGGTTCCCTGAGCTAGCAGCAGTTACGTAGCAGTGGCATAGGCCTGTTCATCTGCCATCACAATAGCACAGGAAAATATATTCATTTTTCAGGGTGAATTTATGCAACAGGCAAAGACTGGAGGGGTGCATGGGCTCCATGCTGAGAATGTGGTGGGCACCCCAAAGCACCCTTTGCTGTCCTCCCAAAGGCCCACCACACTTATCTGGGCTGTAGAAAGGGAAGCACACTGCAACAGAGGAGTTCTGTGTCCTTAGGAGGAGGACTTTGGGACCTTCTCCCTCCCAAACATCCCAAAGTCTCTTGTGAAAGCACAACATAATTTAACCCATCCCTCGGCAGAATTTGCTTTCAAGAAATCTTCATAAGCTAAAACTGTGTGAACTTCATGGAAAGATGCAACTCTTCACAGACTAAAGTTTATTTGTTCATGTGATTGCCCTGTGAATTGTTCCCAAATAGTATGAAACAGAAAATAAAACTTCCGTGCAAAAATACCTATCGGAAAGTTGGTAAATTAAGGAATGCTAAAGGAACTTTAATTATAGGAGGCATTCCAGCACAGGATGGGATGCTGCATACCTCGTGAGGGTATAAGATGCACTGGCTTCCTATCCTCCAGTTTTCATCCAGAGCTGGCATACTATTAATCATGCCGTCCTATTATTAATCTCTCTCTTTCTCACTCATGTGCATGCGTGCGCGCACACACACACACTTCTGAAATACAAAGAGCTTTGTCTAGATTGGCATTCTGAGATAGTGACTGCTGAATTTTACAAAATATGAGGCTGATAACTATAATTAAATCTTTTGGGAATTAAGAGCATTTTTCTCCAGTATTAGTTATGCTATACCACCTATATAACAGCTCTATCCAAGTTGCTGAACTCCAGATTTGTTGGATGAGCTACAGTTCCCAGCATCCTTAGCCATTCTGGCTGCCAATTGTAGTTCAACCCATCTTGAGATCACCAAGTTAGAGAAAGCTGGTATTTAATTAAGCCAAATTTTACCTAGCTTGCCAAGGAGGCTTTTTTTTAGCTTAAATTCTCTTCTTCCATCTTATTAACCTCTGTAAATGGATATAGTTATAGACGTGGGTTAAAACTCACCTACATGTTATCCAACTACCAGCAACAGTTCCAAATGCATGATTTGAGGTGTGAGAAATTAATTATACTATGATGGATAGGCAAGTTCTAAATCCATTGGTGTTATTTTAATTAAACGTTAACCACATCCTATTTAATTTGCCTGCTCATTGTTGTAATTTATAAAATATTCACACTGTAAATATTCAGTGATGTGAGCAATAGTCATTCACCAGCCATGAAGTTTGATAAGAAGCATAGCTCTGAAATTTGAAAAATTTGCCATTTGCTGTAATCTCAGAGACAAAGATAGGATCGCCCTCCCGGGCAGATCCTATCAGATAATAGAAACTCTTTTAATCTAGTAGGCACAGACACGAAGCTGGCAGGCAGACAGAAACACCGGAAGGGGAAATTTGGAATAGCACAGAGGTGCAGATACAAAAAAATCAGCATTGGAATGGACATGATGAACGTTCAGCAAGATTAGCCACAGTTTCAATTCAACTTTGTGCTAGTGGAAGACCTCCAGTAGAACAGGATT